CCCCAAAACCCCAAAACCCCAAAACCCCAAAACCCCAAAACCCCATGATACTAAGGAAAATTGTAGAATTTTCTATTATCAACTACCATCTGATGAGCAATGGAGCTCTCAATTTGGAGCAAGGTAGCCCTTCCTACATTGACAAGTTCCATCACTTTTGCAAACTCCTCTTCCAGAGCAAGGAATTTCAACTGGCTTAGAGTAATACTTTCCTTGTCCTGCTGTGATAGGATCATCTTCAGGATTTTCCCAAGTTTTATCAATCAAAGGGTAATATGTCTTTCCGGTGGGACATGTATCGTATCAGACACAAGTGCCTATGCAAGAAGCTTTGCTGGAGCTCTGGCAGAGTGAATTTATTCATTGGAATGATTCTTTAAATTCTCTTGTATTTCTCTCTTCCTTCTTTAATGTACTTTGTTCTATTCCTTCATCATTGAAATTATAATAAGGCATTCATACAGCTCCATTATTTCCGGCATCTCCAGCTATAGTTAAAGGTCTTGCTGGTCATTCAGCGAGGAAATGGGTCAAAAGCCCTATCATGACAGTAGTTTCATCAAGATCAGTTTTCAATCTGAGGCAATCATAAATTTGAGACCCATCTGCTTTTGAAGAATCTATTCAGTCCAATACTTTAGTTTTATCTGTAGAGTTAAGTTGTTGGTAATGCTCTCCACTAAGGAGGCATTGGGAGCACCCCCACCCACTTGGTTCAGTGAATATCTATATTGATGACGAAATCTTACATCAACTTCTACTCCTACCCCTCAAGAAGCAGCTCAATCAGCTTCAGTTTTCGTTGTATCTCTTAAGCAGACAATTCAATCCTGTTTAGTATTGATATTAGAGAATTGGTAATCTGGAAATGTCTTATAGCTTTCTATGGCGCCTAGGGTGTCTTGGTACCTAGATCTTGTAGTCTGGCAGTCTCAATCTGGACCTTTTATAACTCCATCAGTGATTCTTCCATTATCTAGAGTATTATCAACGAAGCCATGAGAGAGCTGGGTCGGTGATAATGGATTCCCAATTATATAGTTATTCGGATCTACACTTCATGTCCCACTAGGAAAGAACCAAGATCAGTGACTGTCATATGCACACTCATTTCATATAGTATGGTTTTGAAAGAATATATTCTCAGCTGTTGTGGTGGTCTTAGAAGCCTCAAAGCAATAACACCTTGAGTGAGATAGGTACTTATAATATCAGTACTTTCCATTGCCAAGTGTGTATTGCTCTAACTCGTCAAATATCTGAACGCATTTATTGCATCCTCAAAATCCTATCTCTATTCTGCCATTATTCTTTCTGAATCAAACTCTTTCATTATCATTGTAAATTTCTGTATTATCGAGCGACTCGAAGTAAGTGTAAAGACTAGAGTAAGTTTCATTCAGATTATCATGGATAACTACATCACGAATAGTGTCATCTATGTAAAGATCGACCTCGCAACCATCCAAGAATCCGTTGAAATAGGAATAATCTATGTAAGAATCAGCAATATGACCATTTCTATTGATGCAATGTGACCAATACTCTTGGTCGAGGATATAATCAGCATTGGTGTAATTTTTGAAAATAAACTTGAAATACAGCTTCTCCTTTCCAATATTTTTAAGTCTTAGCTTCTTCAGTACTTTAGAGTTGGAAATATCCCTTCCTTTCAATCATTCGAGTGTAGTAATTCGACATTTATTAATCTCTGTAAAGGTCCAATCAAAGAATTGGAATGCTGCAGCTTGATCAGTTGCATTAGAAGTGGTACTCGATAACCCTACAAAAGATTTCCCAGCCATTAGTCCATCTTGGAGCCCCCCACTGGGGTTTGCAGTAGTGAGATCATCATGAGAAGCAATTTTTCCAAGATTTACAGGTACTTCAAGCACTGGTTTCAGCGTATTGTCAATATAAATAACAATAATTCCTAGTTTATACTCAGAATACCAAGTTGTTGATCCAGTGAAGTCTAAAAATGTTTGACTATTATAGTCTGTAAAACTTATAAAGGTTAAATCATCCAGCTCTTCTAATGCTCTTTTGTACTCTATTTTAACTTTATGCTCACCACCTTTAGTCATCGAAAAAGGGAGCCATCAAAACCCAAGCGAGTATTGATGGTCAGGTGATAAAGGGTTCGAATATTGTATTGAAATATGAGGCTGCCCAGGGTGGGTTTTCCAAGGATCTGTGGTGTCTAGAGTGATGTGAAAGTCGAACTCAATAGCAACTGCATCATTTAGTCCACCATAGCCTAGACTATTATCCTTATCTAGCCCTAGAGTATCCATGTCTACGTTTTGATTTTGGATTACAAAGGAAAACCCATGAGCGATATCATTAACTCAAGTATATTTGTCACATTTCAAATATGGATCCATAACGTTAAAGGTAAATTCAGTATCAAAGCCATAGATAACTGATTGCTTTTCAGTAATAGTTGCATACCCATGAGAATTAGTTGCTGGATTAGTTAACCTCAGAGCATTGAAACTCACATTTTGAAGATCAGAGTACAAAATTTTCTGTGTTTCATAATGCTTTCCTTCCAAAAAGAAGGCATCATTGACAGATAACTTTGTTGAATACTCCAAACTCGAGTCTAGAATGCTCGATTGTGGATCATAACTCGGATTTGGAACAAATTCAACAAATTTAGTAGTGTCCAAATCTCTATAATTCTTGTTCCTATAGCCATTAACATCTTTCAGCCTCTAAAATTCCTTTTTAACCCCTATCAAAGTTCAAAATTCTTCACTAATAAAATCTTCTTTCGGCCGCTTACCCCTTTTCATCAAGATTTTTGATAAAAGTGCCATACTGGGAATCTCCAGACAGGGTCAGCCCTGTCTGGGTCCCTGCAGCCAGGTTGGCTCTTGTCATTGCAAAATCTCCTAATGCATGTTTTAAGCACCAAAATAGAAAGAATAGCAACATTTTGAAATTATTCATTTTTATTATAAATGTTTCAATTTTAAGATATTGAAAAGGGGTTTTGGGGTTTTGGGGTTTTGGGG